GGGGGGGGGCCCCCCCCCAAGAACTAATCATACCAAATCCTTCCTAGCTTTTCAGCACAGACAAGATTAGCCCGGGGCTATCACTGGACAAGAATAGAGATGTGATTTTTTTTTTTTTTGAGATAGGACTTGTCTGTCTCATAGATTAATGTTTATGTTAAGGCTTTCTAAAAATGCAAGGGTTCAATCACTATTCTTCTAATGTATCCCAAATATTTGTTGAGATCAGCAACATGAAATTATGTAGGGTGAAGTCAACTAAGAAAAAAACAACACCAGAGCAATCCAACATGAAAAGCCAAGATCAAACATTACCCAATGGTCAGGATATAAAGTGAAGGTTTACTGAAAATGTAGTAGTCACAAAGGCTCATTAACTATTAGTCAATATTAATATGGATCATTGAAAAATATGAAAACAGGAGTTCAAGTGCTAAAAAGTGAATCACAATCTAATGGTTATATAAATTGATAAAGAGATTTGTTTTAATTTGGACATTTGATTCTTTGGATTGTTTGAGTCAATTGATTTATGGGGAGAGGAATTTGGGGTTTTATCTTCCTCATAATCCAAGCTACATATTTTACTTATTCAGTACTTGTCCTGAATAAAACTGTAACCTTAGTCCAGGTATTAGAATCCACACCCATGTAGAAAAATCATGGAAAAATGAAAGTTGTCTTAATTAATTTCATTCTCTTGCATCTATTTATTGTGCAAATAGAATAGCTTTGGTATTTCCCTTTCTTGTAAAAAACAAACTTTTTTTCTATTAGCCAGGATTACAATATTTCCCTAGCTACAGTCTAATTTGTGAATATATATTTTTTCATTATATGTAGTTCTTAAATAATAAAACATTATTTGCTGAAATTATTTCACATGGGGGCAAAAAAAACTTAAATTCTTACCAGAATATCTGTGACATTCCAACTGAAAATCAACAGGGTGGAAATAAGAATTCACTTCTCCACGTTAGAGGGGTTTTTTTTGTTAAACCCTAAATTTCTTTTTATTGGGGGGAGGGGATGTCTTTGGAATAAGGTGTCACGGAAACTTTAGATTTATTTGTTGCTGAGCCTATCTCTCCCCTCGTGTTCTCGCCTAATCTTAGAAAAAGTCAATCTTTGGCAGATAGGAGAGAAAGTCAAATGTCAAATTGTTGCCCTAAAAAAAAGTATCACAGATTCAATGAATCTTACACTAGACTCTTGTCCTTGAGCTACGAAGCTGCCACCTACATAGTTTTAAGTTAAACTTACTAGTTTACAACTGTACAAAGAAAAGGCTCAAAAGCTTAGCCCATTTTCCAGCAACTGGCTTGCAATGGACTTTGCCAATCCAAAAAGATATCCTGGCTGATGCAGGGGGTACTTTGAGACAATGGAGCACCTGAATAATTTTGGCATTTGGCCTCAAATGGCAATATCTATCATCTATCTATCTATCTATCTATCTATCTATCTATCTATCTATCTATCTATCTATCTATCTATCTATC